CTTTATTTTTAAGAGTGTAGTTTGAACTATTGCTTTCACGTGTACGATCATTTCATTCAAGAATAACAAGGTAAACATGCAGTGTATTTATATCTAAACTAATGAATGCCACTAGTGCTCAGATGCATGCTGAACACTGGGGTTAATCTGCAGATTCATTCATTTATTTGTTTGTTTATATTTTGGGCCACAACACATGTGATGTTTCTATGCTTCTGATTTGTGTAAGTGAGCTGCAGCAGAATGAACACAGACAGACTCACTCATGCTTTGATTTCATGTCATGCTTTCTACATCAGCCGGATGTTGCGCTGTTCTCTTCTATATTAACCTTCAAATATATTGCAAAATGTACTTGAAGGGGCAATAAAATACATTTCCAATCTAAAAATATATGAGTGTGAGACTGGTGGGTTTATATCGCACAGATCGTTCTCCAGCCTCTGTTTAGCAACAGAATCATACATATGCAACAGAGGGAATAAAAACACTCGTCTGTGTTCATGTCACGTATTTCACACCGCTGCAGTGACAGCACTATTTATAGCATCCCTTAAGTGCAGCACTTGAAGCTGCTGAGGGGGTTTTTCAAGCTAGGTGAGGCAGTTGTAAGAACAGGTGACAATCACAGAGGGACGGTGTTTTCATACACCTGAACACATGTCAATATCACATTTATCAGTGATTGAGCCTCTGGATCATCAGTGCAGAGAAGCCTGCTGAAAGCTTCTGACTGGATGCTTGAACATTGGGTTTGTAGACAAATAGTGCATGAATTTCAGCACAAAACTGACATTTTGATTTAGTTTGAATGAACTCATAATTCACAAAGTCATGTGAGGCACACAGCGACCGAAGATGACGCTGCAATGATTCCTCTTGTGTGATTTTTGCAGTATTATTCCAACATTATTATTCAGAACGCCCAACAGGTGTATTTTAATGGTTTAATAACTTAGCGTAAAAGAGAATTACATACTGAGAAATATGCAACAGGTAACGCTTTATATTACAGTGACATAGTTACACGGTACATGTAGTAACAATAAATACTGCATAATCACAAGCAGCTAAATCAAACCTTAAGTCTATTAACCACATCTAGTTAGTTATTATTTGTGTAATTACACTGTAACAACAACAAATGTTCATTTATCAGATTTGTTACATATTTTCATATTGATTTATTTTGGTAACTCTTTATTTTAGTGTCCTTGTTACACATGTTACAAGCAACTAACCCTAAATCAAACCCTAACCCAGGCAGCACATTAATATTACTCAGTACCAATTTGTGTAATAACAACGTCATCTTAGAATAAAGTGTAACCATATTTTACTGAAGATTGTGTTACATATGTAACTGTGCATGTGACATAAAATCTTACATTTTGATTTATCGTCATTCTTTGGGTCAAGGACGAAACGATGCGACTGAAATCATAAATTCCTAATAAACCCTAGTGCAAACCTATCTGAGCGCATTCCTGCCCTTGCTCGCTGCCGAATGATCCGCAGCGGGTTACACTTCGTGTGTCTGTTTCCCTGAAGCTCAGCGCGAGATCCGCGTGTCAATCAGCAGAATTAGCGAGCCGCATCGCGCAGGCGTGATCCAGTCTGAGCCGCGCGAGCTCCAGGCCAGTCGCTTCCGTCTCTGCAGCTCTAGCTCTCCCGCCGGACATGCCCCCCGGCCCCCGGCGACCCTCCGCGCCTCTGCCGCACCTGTCCGGCGCGTGAATGGCCCCCCCGCCATGGACGAAATGCCGTTCCAGAAAGTCAAGACCCGGCGCAGGAGGAGCCACTGCCCGCCCGGGGTCATCGCGTGCGAGGACGAGTTCGACTGCAAGGAGCTCGAGTCGCTCTTCCACAACTACAACCTGAAGCTCGACCAGACCTGCACGCTGAAGGCGCTGTCCGTGCTCATCCTGCTGTCGTCCAGCCTCAGCCTGCTGGAGCTGCTGCTGTCCGGCGCCAGCCTCACCATCGCCAAGGGCTCCTACCCGGTGCACTTCGTCATCTTCATCTCGCTCTTCATCGTCACCAACGTCACCAACCTGCAGGTGAGCCAGCTGCAGCAGATCGCGCACCTGAGTCTGCTCTTCTGCTTCAGCTTCTCGGTGCTGTGCTGCCCGTTCCCGTACGTGTCGGGCGCCGCGGGTCCGGAGCAGGGCGTGTGGCAGCTGCTGCTGCTGACGTTCGTGGCGTACGCGCTGCTGCCGGTGCGCACGCTGCTGGCGGTGCTGTTCGGGCTGCTGGTGTCCCTGGCGCACACCATCGTCACGGCGGCGTCGGTGACGGTGAAGACGCAGCGGCTGTGGAGAGCGGTGAGTTCAGCACTGGACAGCGACCAGACTCCGGGTTACTGAAGCCTCACGGTGCTTTCGAAGTCCGAAGAGTCGTTATTTAATCACTCAGTCATCATAATTTCATGTTTTTCAACTGAAACCATATTGTGTCTGATCAGCCGCTTCTCATCAGTGAGTGAATGTGAAAAAAAAGTTTTGAAAAGTTACCATGTTTTTTACTGCACTTACCCATTTTTATTAATTAAAAAAAAATTATTCTTTGAAATGTCGGTAACACTTTACAATAAGGTTCATTAGTTAACTACATTAGTTAACATGAACTAATAATGAACTGCATTTATACAGCGTTTATTAATCTTTGTTAATGTTAATTGCAACATTTACTAACACATTATTAAAATCTTGTTAACATTAGTTAATGCACTGTGAACTAACATGAACATCTGTATTTTTATTAACTAACATTAGCGTAGATTAGTAAATACAGTAACAAATGTATTGCTCATGGTTAGTTCATGTTAGTTAATATATGTTTAACTAATGAACCTTATTGTAAAGTGTTACTGAAATGTCAAATTACACAGTGACCCCACCAAAAAACTATGATGCAAAATATATATGTTTTCAATATTGACGGAAATTTTATTGGAATATATCACTGTAAAATCGGAGAATTACAGTATTAACCCCACTGGAATTAATATAATTTAATTAGATTTGACTTTATAACTCGTGATTGCTCAAAAATAGTCCAAATGTATAAAACCTACATGTTTATTTGTAACAAAACAACATCAAAACAACATAAATATTACTCTTAAAAGTTTCAAACGAAATAACTTCATTCTGATTGCATAAACCTACGTTTTCATGCACTGCAATGGTTCAACAAAGCTGAGCCCCAAAGGTGTGTGAGATACGGGGAAAATGCATTTTACTAAAGTTTTTTTGACATGAATATAACTTTTACAGAAACTATTTTAAACACCTAATGGGACTTCATACATATCCGGGTGACCTGAACATGAAACATTTAACATGTTTTTAAATGGTTATATGAAAGGAAGATGTGTATTTTGAGGGTCTTAAAGCATTTGCAAAGTTTCGTTCCATTACTTAAAGCCGTGCATTTTTTTTTTTTAGAAATGTTTATGTAGCTCCTCTGGCCCAAAAATATACCTGATGCATGAGCATTAAGAGCAGAGATGGGCCTCATGTCACCAGTAAAACTACTTAAACCGTTTAACTTGAGCAGATGTTTCTACATGAAGCATAATTCAGATTAATAAAGTGCAGTCATTTTGCACTTCAATTTGACTAGAAAATACTATTTCAGTCTCTGTCACATTCAATTCAATGTGTTACTAGCCATTTCTTTATAATAATGTGTGAAATATCTGAGTGAAAGTTGATACAAAGTAAATCCTACACCAGTTTTTTCAGTGTGTTTCACATTGTGATGCATGATTAGCAAGAGAATTATGTTTCTGTTTTTTAAACAACAGGTGAATCACTCCATGCTATCAAGTGTTATGATTTGCTTACTTAATATTTCAAGTTAAGTGCATAAACATGCCTGTGCAAAAAAAAAAACATCTAAATAAATCTAAATCTACAGTTAACTTAATTTATTAACATTTGTATTTTCTGCAGTGTTGGATTTATTGCAGTCAGACTGATTTTAAACAGAAAGAGTGTTACTATCAATCACCTTCTGAAAGGTTAAATGCGTAATAATGTCTGTGGGCTGGGTTTGATTAGGTGCATGAGTGTTAATGCTGAGCCACAGAGCTGGTTCGGCTCAAATACAGTTTATGACTGAACAGCTGTAACAGTGAATTTACACTTAAGATACTGAGGCTGAGACTGAAATAAGACACAGAGAATGTGTGCTGCAGGTTCATACAGTATCTATAAAGTCCTCCGCAGTGGCTCTGATAGACGGATGGTCATCACACATTCTTCTGAGTGTGTTTGAGGAGCGCAGGGTCCAGAGACCAGCAGCGGAGCGGCTCTATGTAGGACGGCTCTGAACGGAGGCCAGACACACTTCTGAAAGCTATTTTAGCACAGAAATGAGGAGGATGCTCTGTACGGATGATCCGGACAGGATTTACAGACTGTGTTAGGTGTGGAGTTAGGTTTAGAGACCAGCGCTGTGTGAAGATCACGCCATCCGTCTCCTGCATTTATAATGATTATAATGACAAAACTCATTTTAATGGGTTGAATCAGGTAGAAATAGTTCTTTAAGGTATTAGTGTAATGCTGCTGCGTCACTCATTACTGAACACTGATGCTTCATTTCACGCTCAGTATCACCGACAGTTGTGTAATGAAACGTTTCAGAGCGTAGTTCAAATTGTTACACATAACGTGTCAAGTTATGGTCACATGTACCCTGCATCGTCTATTTTTCACTGACGAAATGTATTCATTTCAATAGGAATCCATGCAGTTGTTAGTTTCAGATGAGGGCAAAAGCTTTCCACACGCAGATTTCACGTCGGGTTCAGCTGGTCATGCAGATTTGCTGCACTGACCAAAACACAGCTGCTTCGTTTCATACATTTTGTGCTACACTATTGAAAGTAGGCCACGGACCTTTCTTGCCTGATGAAATTTCTCTCATGTGAGCATGCTTAGATGGTCAGTGTTTTATAGACGTTCAGTTTCTTCTCTCAGATCAACTGCATCATGATGGAACAGCAGTCCAGCAAGTTCAGCTACCTGAGCAATAACTGCTTAAATCACTGTTAATGGGTAGATTGTTTTATTCTCGAATGAGAGCATGTTGAGTATGCGGGACTGTGCGCTTTACCTGTGTTGCCAAATCTTGTCATTCTGATGCCTTCAGAAAGTAGACAGAAACACACAGCACTTCTGCTGAAAGGGGCTGTTCGCACAGAACCTGCTTTGCTTTGGAAAACACGAGACACCAGTGGCATGGAGGAAAATGCAAGGTCTCAAGAGGTGTTTTTTAAAAGTTGAACTTTTTTTATTTCAGCACTGTGTTTTTGCAAAAGACACGAGACGCGAGCGCAGTGGTCAAAGATGTTCATCTACCACGTGTTTGCATAGAAAAGCAATGGAAAAGCAGCGCAATGGAAAAATGTGTTCCATGTGAAGTCTCCTCCGCTCGCTTCAGCCCTGTTAGTCTGTGTGCAAATCAGTGAGTTTTCAGCATGTGAGAGAGAGCAAGGCCGGCTAAATAAAGGCTCGGTGTGCATGTCCTCTGACAAATCTAATCCAATAAAGAGCAGATAGACTCACGTCCCTGAACTCTACGACCTGCAGCGAACACAAAACCAGCTCTGAGCTCACTGAAGAGGACAAACACATGTCAGAAGAGTGACCACTCAAGCACACGGACTGTGCATAAAACTGTAGGGACAGTCATAATGTAAAAACACTTTTCATGCTCTAAACACATCTATCCATCAGTCATACTCTACCATAGCCGTGTGCTGTGGAAGCTCACAGACAGCATCTATATTAAACCAGTCTTTTATTGTATCTTACATATCTTGTGTCCTGTCAGTGATGATGGTTTCAGTGCTGTTGTGTTTGTGTTTCTCAGTTGGTTGCGAACACGCTGCTCTTCACCAGTGTGAATCTGTCGGGTCTGTTTGTGCGGATGCTGACGGAGAGAGCGCAGCGCAGAGCCTTCCTTCAGGCCCGAAACTGCATCGAGGAGAGACTGCGCATGGAGGACGAGAACGAGAAACAGGTCACGCTCTTAATATATATACAGCAAAAACAATCAAACCTTCGGTGGATTCCTGCATATAGAATGACACTTTAAAAATGTTTTGGCTCAATAGGAAACTAAGTTTGCACAGAGGTTTTTGAGTTATGACAACTTCTACATGAGCAGAGGAAATAAATAATCTGTATATTTTTGAAACTGAACTAGTTAACTAAATAACTGGAACTGAATAAACACGAAGTTGATTACTCGAAACAATTAAGTTGTTCCAGCTAACTGAGTGCTGGCATCGGAACCAATTCATCTCGTCTGTTTCAGTTGTACTTGTCACTTATCGAGTGAGATTAGTCTCAAAGACACAATGCACACATGCGTAGCCCAATTCACATGCAAAAAGCAATTCACGTGCACAAAATAAGAATATATATTCATAAAATGCCTTTCACAAACACAAAACACAATTTACAGATGTACCACTGTGTACAAAAGTTATTATTGAGACTAATATCGCTCCATAGTCACTGGCATTAACCCTAACCATGAGCTCCACTCTTCAGCACAATGAGAAAAACTTCAACGTTACGGAAACTCTTTAAAATGTGAAATATAACAAGTCTTTCCCATTACTACAAATTATCCAGTTCAATGCAAAGCATGCTGGGAACTAGAAACTCACTGCCAAATTTTGACAGTTTATTAAGTTACTAACTTATTTAAAAATATATATACATTATAATTAAAAAAAACATACAATATGAAGCTTATGTAATGATCAACATTATTATGTCAACAGAACTCATCAAAACAAATAAATCAATAAATCTGTTTTGTTTTTTAAACGTGCAACCATGCATTTAGTTCCCTGAATATCATTGACTGTATAATATTCATTGTACTGTATTTCCGAGAAAGGCTTGTTCAGTTCTCGCTGTCTCATGCGTGTCTCTGTGATGATGGTTGCACACGTGCAGGAGCGTCTGCTGATGAGTCTGCTGCCCAGAAACGTGGCCATGGAGATGAAGGAGGACTTCCTGAAACCCCCAGAGAGGATCTTCCACAAGATCTACATCCAGCGGCACGATAACGTCAGGTACCGGCTGACACACTTCATTTCTAGGGTTTGTGTAAATGCAGAGGTTTACTGTGAGGAAAGGAACTGCTTCAGTGGCTGTTATGATCACAGATGCTGTTTGAGTGAGAATCTTAATCAGGAGTGATTTCTGATTTCATTCATCAGTACACTCATACGAGTCTAATCAAACAAATCTAATGGAAAATCATGGTTTTGTTTTATTTTGGTTTGACGTCAGTGTTGAAGTGCAGAACACATACTAACCAGCTTTACTGCAGAAGTGTTTGTCCTCTTTGTTTTTCATTGTGTCTTTAGTGTTTTCGAGATGATTCAGTGAGTTTATTGCCGGTGTGATGATGATCTTGTTCTGCATTGCAATATCACACTCTGTGCTTGAGTCTTAAACCCAGAGTTGTTTTGATCAGGGCTAATCTGCATGTTACTGGATATTATATCTGTGAGGAATCCTGAATCATAGGGGCGTTGAGAAGACCTGTAATAGTGAGTGTCAATGTACCACAGAACTCATGAAGCATTATGAAGTAAACCCAAGACCACTGACGTCAACCCTCGACTGGACTGTTGGACCTTTAGTGAACATGAAATCAGCACAGACTCTATTAACTAGAGGCTGATCGATATATCGCGTCACTGCGCTGATAGTTGCTCTTCTGTACTATTGGTTATCCGGAAAAAAAAGAAATCTATGTCAGTAGTCGCTGATAGTTTGTTTTATTCCTCTGTGTTTCTCTGTATCTGATCGACTGTATAACAGCAGCCTTAAAACATACGGGGCACATGATATAAAATATATACAGTGCCATTCAAAAATTACATTTATTAAGACAAACGACTTGCGTTGATTTCACTTCTGTGGCTTTCTCATGCATCATAAATTTAATTTGGCCTTAAAATAAACAAAATGATACGTTTCTGCATGTTAGTAGTGAAGCATATATATACTTATTTACTTTATTTAATAATTACAAAACATTTTCATGGTTAAGTCATTATTCTGAATTTTGTAATGAAGTTCAACAGTATTTTACATTGAGTGAATTTTTTAAAAATTTATATTATTGATTTCAAAACCCATTTTTTTCACCTTAGTTATCAGTTTTGGTTAAATCCTCTCGATTGTTATGATTTTTAAGATTTTAGATTCTCATGGAGCGTGTTGAGTAAATGACCACATGATCAGTGCAGGTTTGTCCTGTGGTGTGTGTGTGTGTGTGTGTGTGTGTGTGTGTGTGTGTGGAGACGTTACCGAGACTCCTGCAGCCTTCAGATTAAACCTCTGCAGGGATTTACTGCGATGGACACTAAAGACTGTTGCGTAACACTCACGGAGAGAGAGATCTGCTCCTGCTGAGAGATATTTCTGGAGCAGATCAGGGAAGCTCCTGCTGGAATATGGGACACTGGATATAAGACGGGAGCTCTCCATCAGGTTCTGGACCTGTGATCAGAGCTGACTGATATCACCGATAAACTATTATATGACAAATATTTCTCAGCGTTTTTGACAGTGTTGTGTACATTATATATAATAATTGTGCACTGCACTCATTTACTGTAAGGAATACAGACAACACCAGGTGTGGTTGTAGCATCTTTATCATGACTCTTTATTTGATCAGACTGATATCAAACTGTTTAGACAATATTGAACGTTTTACACTAAGTGATCAGGCGCACTCAGAACACCCTAGCAACCACATAGCAACAACCTAGCAATCACCCAAGCACTTTAGCTAGAGTGACCATACGTGCCATTTTCCCAGGATATTTTAGGCAATATAGAAATCCTGGCCAGGACGCGTCCTGGGAAAATGGCACGTATGGTCACCCTACTTTAGCAGTCACATGCTCTGTCGCTCAGCATCTTGATTGATTGAAGGATTCTGTCTGAAGCTTGTCTGAAGCATGATCTCCGTCACAGATGGACGCGCATTAAAACATTCACAGCAAACTGAATTTATGGCACCCGTCTTACGTTGACATCTGCGCTATGACAGCGTCTCAGTGTTCACGCGCCCACACACACACGCCTCGCTCTCAGCCTGTGTGCTTCACAGCTCAGATGTAGCTGGACGTCAGTGTTCGTGTGTGTGTGTGAGTGAGTGAGTTAGTGTGTGTCTGTGTGTGTGTGTGTGTATGTGTACTGGTTTATATATCCTGGTGGGGACTTAAACCTGACTACACACAGGCTCATGGGGACTCGTGTCACGGTGGGGACCTAAATTGTGGTCCCCATGGGTACAAAAGCTTATAAATCATACAGAATTAAGTTTTTTGAAAATCTAAAAATGCAGAAAGTTTCCTGTGAGGGGTAGGTTTAGGGGTAGGGTTGGTGTAGGACAATAGAATATACGGTCTGTACAGTATAAAAACCATTACGCCTATGGAGAGTCCCCACAAGGATAGCTGAGCAGACTGTGTGTGAGTGCGTTTGTGTGCGTGCGTGTGTGTGAGTGCGTTTGTGTGCGTGCGTGTGTGTGAGTGTGTGTGTGTGTGTGTGTGTGTGTGTGTGTGTGTGAGTGTGAGTGTGTGTGTCTGCGTTTGTGTCTCAAACCCTTTTCAGACTTAACCATACTTAAATCAGGATACATTTACATAAGCAAAATTGCTTGCTTAAATCTTTACTTATTAAAGTCTTGCCTTCTAAAAAAAAGTAAGTGAATTCTTACTTAAAATGAGAAGAAATATCTGGCAGTGGGGGTCAGAAATATTAACTAAGTTCCCTTTCGAATGGACTCTTCCATTGCGTTGAATGCTTAGACGTCTCCAAAGGAGCCTGAGAGTAACATTCGTCAGAATCTTTCTCCTTCAGCGCGTAGATCATCTCCCTGCTGGACTCTGAAGAAAGAAGCCTAGAAGCCGAGTAAGCTCGAAGAAAAGCCGCTACTCGCCGTAGAAGAGCCCAGGCAGAGGAAGGATGCCTTCAAACAGCACTTCCCCTGCAGCCATCCGGCGACTGAGAAAGAGTGCTTCCAAGAGCAAATGTCCACAACAGCGTTGTTTCAAATGTCGTGCTGCAGAATTCAGAGGATGAGCAGGGTCCCAATCCACTCTGCCTGGTTCGGGCTCTTAGAGTGTTTGTTGAGCGCTCTGGCCCATTTCGGCACTCAGAGCAGCTCTCGCTGGATAGTTGACACTATAGCCCTGCCTTACGCCTCAGCTGGCTTACAATATCCTATCGGAGTAAGGGCCCACTCCACCAGAGGAATGGCCTCCTCGTGGGCTCTGTCCAGCGGAGTTTCAATTGGTGATATCTGTGTGGCAGCCGGCTGGTCTTCGCCGTCTACCTTCGCCAGATTTTATAACCTGGACATCCCTGCCCTTCAGGCATGGATTTCGTCCACTTAATTTACCTGATCTCCCAGATTAGTGGAAAAGATCTTGTTATGTAGACCCCAGCCTGTTGGCTTGGGTCTCATATTTGGCTCATGCTTTTTAGGAGCCTTCATTACAGGCCCCCCCGGGGCTGGGCTCACAGAGCGGCTTCATTCTGCACTTGCTTATAGCACGGTGCTATTGGATGCATTCCCCATAAGCGTTCAACACAACAGGAGAGACCCTTTCGAAAGGGAAACTTCCAGTTACTAATGTAACCTCGGTTCCCTGAGAAAAGACACATTTTTTAGAACATAATTTTTGCAGCATAATTGAAAATGTATTTGAATCATGGAAAGGAAGCAACTTTATTCCTCAACTGATTAGACCAAACTCACTCTCTCATGACAGCTAAAGTCACCATGAAAGAGAAGCTGTGATCGACTTATGACATTATGTACTTGTGTATTATGACATATTTCCAAGCGAAACAGCTTATCAGTTTGAGAAAACACATAGGGCAGGGCTTGATCTGATCGTGGTTGTTGATTGGACGGTGAAGTGAGCGCTGTGTGCTGTAACAGAGGCAGATCTAAATGTGATTGGCTGAACGAGGACAATAAACATAAATGCACCGATGGATCAGTCTCAGAGAGACCAGTAACATGCATTAAGAAAATATACAGGGTCAGTTTTCATGACAGTTTTAAAACAGCCACCCAAATGCAGTGCTCAGCTCCTCTAACATCATCATCATCTTCTTGATCAATGAGGATGTCAATATCACACTGCATTCGTTGGCTTAGACCAGAGGAGAACTAGTCCTGGCTGAGCCTGGTTTCTGCATTTCTGTCACTGATGGAGATTGTGTTCCAGCTGAAACTGAATTTTTTTCACAATTTTTTTCAAGACTATAATTGATTAATTTTGCAACATCAACACTGTTATTGAACTGAACTGAATCAACACTGAACTGAATTGATCTAAGCAATGACACTGTTGTCTTTAAGTGAGCTGCTTTACAGCTGAAGTTGAGTTTGCATCATATTTGATTACGTTTGCATCATTTATTCTGTTATTTTACTGTTCAATTCTGTGACGCTTCTTTGAAACAATCTGTATTGTATAAAATGCTATAGAAATAAATGTGACTTGACTTGATATACACAGGGTTTGTTTTGAAGGATGTAATCTCTACGTCAGCCGGCTCTCACTTACACCTTTAGCTCGCGCTCACCTGTGAAGAACACGCTGTTTGTGGAAGGACTGATATAACTGCTGTTTGTTGGCATCTGAAAAACATCTCTGTCTGCCAAATAACAATATTAATCACAACACTGAAACTGGTCTCAACTTTAGATGAGCAAATATCAGGTGCATAATAAACAAATCAAGCACATTTAAATGTGTCACAGGTATGTTCAGTTAGTTTCAGTTTCATGGACTTTTAGTTTGTATTCTTTAGTTCCTGTCTTCCTTTGTTTGATTTTCCCGCTTCTCCTTTGTTTCTATGGTTACTGATATGATTGGTTCTTTTAATTTAATTAACCCGGTTTGTTTCAGTATTGTAGTTCCTCCTTTGCTTGTGTTTGTTGTCTGGTCTCGTTTCGGTTGATAGTGTTGACTTCTGCCTTCTGTCCTGTTACCTGTGCTTTATGATTAAATATTATTTGCATGCCCTGCTGTCAGTTTTGACCGGTTGATGAAAAACAAGCTTATGTGGATTCTACACATTTAAACAATTCAGATAAGTTCTCTAGAATTATTTATGGAGCAGATAAAATACATATAATCATTTATTAATCAATTATCATTTTGACTTATATCTTTTCTTTATTTAAAGGCTGAAATGTGAGGTTTACCTTTTTATGAAACTTTTTCAAAGCTTTATTTGAACATTTACATCAGATATTTCAACACGCTATTAATCATTTAAAATCCGAACATCATTGGTAATGTTATTGTTTTAGTGATTATGCAAACAAAAAGTCATTTTATTTATTGTTTGTTGATTTTTTAAATATAAATCTTGGTGAAGTGATTTATGTGTCGGTACTTTTTTAACATCTCCAGCACATTTGAACAATACCGTGATAATACTGATAACCGTGATCATTTTGGTCACTATAATCGTGATAAGAAATTTTCACGCCTTGTGAAGGCCTTTCACGTGATGCATTGAGATCACCTATCGACTAGAGTTTATGAGATTTATTTATATAAAAACTATAACAACATTACAATGATACTAAAATAACAGTGACCTGAGCACAAACAGCAGTTTATTTTATTGTCAGTTTTAAGTCAGCCTCACTGACCAGATTTCATTTAAATATTTAAAGCAAACAAATGAAGCCAATAATGAATATTAAGGTTTATGTATCAATGGGGGCTTCAGTCTGGCTTGTTTCACTGACTTCTCTGTCATTTCATTATTAAATCAAGGTGGATGGACAGATGCGGGACAGTCCCTGTTTCCCTTTACACAGACCAGAGCTGAAGCTTTCTGACAGTTCTCATCTTACTTTGAATAATTTAATGAAATCTCAATCAGATTCAAATAAAGCAGCGCATATGTAATATACAGTATAAATCTCCTTTAGTCTGAGCTCCTTATGAACAAACAGCAGATTCTGAAGGTAAACGTCTCTTTAAGAGAACAGATACACGTCTTCAGTTTTTCTGTACTCTTCTCCTAAGCATCTAATGGCTTTCTGTGTTTTTTTCCCTGCAGTATTCTGTTTGCGGATATCGTGGGCTTCACGAGTCTGGCGTCGCAGTGCACGGCGCAGGAGCTCGTTAAACTCCTCAACGAGCTCTTCGGCAAGTTTGACGAACTCGCCACGGTGAGTCGCTCTCATTGGTTCACGCCTGTTGCTATGGTGACTTCACACCCTGGCAACAGGAGCACAGGTGTGAGTGCAGGGGAAGTTATGCATAATCAGAGAGTTATATGTGATAAAAATGAAATGATGAAATGATGACAGTGCTGTGATCATGAGAACCTGAATTCCATCAAAATGTTTAAATGTGTGAAAGAGCTTCATAAATCATCTTGTCAAGCACACAATATCTTTATTCAAATCTAAATTCACAGTAGTACTAGAATAGAATAAAAATATCAGCACTGACGTCTACAAGAGACAAAACAGAGTACTTCACCTTTCCAAAGTAATTTTTCAGTCATTTGTTTTAGTTGTTTTAGTCATTTGTAATGTTATAATTTTGTTGCGTGGTTTGTCATTGTTATTTGTTTTTGAAATGAATTCATTCATTCATTTATTTATTCATTTTAAAAGGATAAGTTGAGGAAAGTCACATGCTCACTTTCAGTTAACTGAAATAGTATATGCATGAAACAGCATGATTAATTTATTAAAATATATTAAAGTATATTTTATGACTTACTGTTGTTTATTATGAATATTTAGCAGTGTAATGTTTGACATAGCCGAGTGAATCATTGTGTGAGTATTTTCAGCATGCTCATGGAAAAGTTAAATCAGTAGTTTTCAGTCTCTTACATGCACACACTGGTTAAATCTCTCTCTGTCTGTCTTCATTAGGCCGTGTGTCTGTAAATTAAACATGTAGATGTATCTCAGTAATCTAGACACTAGAATTGCTTACATTCACATGTGCCTATGAAATCCTTTAATCCGTGGATTACACTGAGATGTTTCTGTCCAGCGTCAGAAGGTCTTTCAGCAGGTCTAGTGTTTCAGCGTGATTGTCAATCTGTGGTGTGAGTTTGTTTCGTTGCACGGTCCATTTGTTCACATGTTTCACTTGATCCACTCATGCTCCTTCTGTTTGGACTGTCTGCTGGATCTCACACATGCTGCTCCATATAATCACTCTAGAGTACATTCTTGTGCTGTATCTGAAGTATGTGCATTGGGTTTGTTGTTAAATTGTTTGATTTGCTTGTTTTATGTTTACATTGTCTAAGTAAGTGTCATGAAACCTTCTTTCCCACATCATCGGTCAGTTCTGAAATTTGAGTTCTGAACCCTAAGGGGCCTTAAAAATTAAGATACCGAAAACAGAAGGTTTTTTTCCCCCCATTTTTAAACTGTGACCATTGACATTTAATGCAACAAAGATTGCTAAAGTCAAAATATTTTACTAATTGAGCTACCAATCTCTGAAAATAACATAATGATGCTGCCATCTTCATTAAGTCATTTTTACCCCCGTAATTTGGCTCCAAATCTCAGGTGAAAATTGTCATTTTTAAGTGTACATTTTTTTTTTGAATGAGGTCAAATGTACTGAGTGCACCTTAAAAAGATGCTTTTATCCAAAGTGAGAAAAATATACACTTATGAATGCGGAAAAACCATGACAAACCAGAATTGAGCAGAAGTGAATAGTGAATAGAACAGGAAAGACAAAACAGGTTGTTTTGTAAGGTGCTTTTTTGAAGTGGTTTTAATGGTTATATCAGGTCTGTTGATTCACTCAGACCTAGATGTCTGAAAGTCATGCAGAGATGAGATTATGGGGTCACCAGGTAGGAATGACAGGTTGAGCTGTGTATCATCTACATTGCAGCAGCTGGAGTTGTGTATATAGACAATAGGAGTGGACCAAGCACTGAACCCTGAGGCACCCCAGTGTTTACCCTACTCCTCAACAAACCTCGAAGGATCTGATTGTGCCAGTAAGGTGCAGTTCTTCTAATAGCCAGGAGAATCTGATGATTCCTTCGATTGAAGGCAATGAACAGGTCTAGTATGACGATTTGGAGTGAACTTATGCCAGCCGCAGAGTTTCAGCTACAGACAGATCTCCTGAATGTTTGCTTCTGAAGCTGGACGTTCAGTGAAAGAAAAGAGAGAGAGAGCTGAATGAACACAGTCTTGACAGGAGAGGGACTGGTCTGTAAGTTTCTATTACTGTAGGGTTGAGTATTGTTTTTTCGAGCCGTCGGGTTAACCGAGTGGTGGGAAAGATGGCTGTAATAAGAGCTGTAAGAGGATTGTGGAGTGGAACGCTCTTCATTAGGCAAAACTACTTCAGGAGGTTCAGTTTGATCCAATTAAGTGTTTATATGGTGTGACGTGAAGACTCACTGGCTTGGCATTGTGGGAAAGCAGTTGTCATTGTAGCTGACCTGGGATCAGTTATGCTTTCATGGTTATGCCGGTTTGGGATTACAGTGAGGATGTGTTTCATGAGACCAGTTTAGTAAGCATGCACAAGACCTGTGAGTAAACTCTTTATGAAGATGTAAATGTTTAGTTGAGCAGCCATATTTTATGCCAGTCCACATAGGTTTACAATACTGTAGGTTTAGTAATACAGGCTTTTACTTCATCTCACTTGTAAAGGCAGACTTCACTCCATCCTGCTGAGGTTCATCGTGGAGGTCAGGTGGTGCCCGTCCAGCGCCAGTGTCTGCATAATTCAGTGCAGGTGTGAGGGTAGTTGAATGATGAGAAAGATGATGATAGTCATATAATAACAGCAATAGATTCTGGGGAATGACTCATAGGAAGATTAGGAACGGCATCAGAACAAGAGCCTGTTCCTTTATGCTCTTGGTCTTGTACATGTATATGGGGGGACTGTATTTCTTCTCTCTTCTAAATCTTTTTTTTTTCCTGGTGTCCAGAAGGTGGTTCTAGAAGGTCCATAGAAAACTTTTTATTTATTTATTTGTTTGTTTTAGTTAACTATAATAATCCTGAACTAAAGACAGACATCTCAAGGAAGAAAAATATAAATGGCTCAGTATTTATTTGTGCATTAAACTACAAAAGAAAAAAAATAGCTCTCTGGTTAAAAATCATTATCAGGCACACAGCTTTATCCATGTCAAGTTTCTGTTATGTGATCTGTTACAGTAGCAGCTTCTGTTCAGATTTTCTTTACTTCTCATGGACGCCCACTGAAAGAGACACATTGCATAATGTTAATATTATCCTGCATATGTGCAGATCTTGCATAGGTCTTTTGTGGGCTATTGAGTGGATGAAAGACGTAACCAGTCTGAAGTGGAGCGCCATCCCTGTCAAAATTCACTATTGTTATTTTGCCGTTGCAATCATATCAACATATCTGTTGCTGTGTTTAGAGTGTGAGTCCCTAACGAGCTGCTGTATGATGATGATGAGAGCACTTCATCCAGCTCATAAACTCACGTCCTTCTGCTGTTTAGGTGTAAATGGTGTATTAGAGACATCATGGACAAAACATAAATTAAGTTAACTAAAGAGCTTATTTTACTCCTAAATAAAAACCTTCCATTGTGAAACCCTTGGACATTTGTCTGGGTCTTCTGGGTTTAGGGTTGTAGTACTTTCTGAGCAGCTCTGTTCACATTCACTGTCTCAGATGGCTGACTGCTTTATTTTGCCCTCATTTCTCCTCATTTAGATTTAAATTAAGAGGCTAAATTGGCACAGATTTCTCCGTGTGAGATCTAATAATCTCTCGTTCCTAAAGGCTGAAGAACAGACGATGTGGCTCCTGAAGGACTCTTGGCTAAATGATGCAAATGTATGCAGTGTTTGTGATGATGCTGATATGCTTTAATCTTACTGTGCTTTTTATGCTCCTCTGTTTCCATGGCTTGTGTTTCACCTGCACACTTAAACACTCACAGTGCTTCTGCTTCAGTGTTTGCTCGCTCCGCTTTCCCTCTGAGACAAATTAATCCTGACTGTGAAAGAGCAACACTCCAGATTTGATTTTCTTGGTCACACTTTATTTCAGTAGTCCACTTTAGACATTCTACTGATTATAACTTTGCAACTACATGTCAACTAACTCTCATTAGATTATTAGTAGACTGTTAGGTTAGGGTTAATAGAATATGTTGGCATATAAGCAAGTGACTTATAGTCAGTAGAATGTCCATCAAAATAAAGTGTGAACTGATATTAAGCAGACAGTCTACTGAATACTCTAGAGACTATATTCCTAGTATAGGGCAGATCTTTAGTGGACAGGTTCGTTTTGTAAATTTATATATTAATAAGACCATTTTTTGCTCTGATTTTTCTTTCGTCTTTGAATTCCTTGCCCAGATTATTTTTGAGAAATGTGGCAACAGGAGCCCTGTTTCTGTCATCCGAATGCTGCTTTAAAAACAGAAAGCACCTCAAATAGCCACAACGTAATCATTTCTGTGACCTATTTTGTGCATTTCTCATTTCATTTCAAGCAACTGTTGTGAAGAGATAAATGGTGAATTTTCATGTCATGCTGACTTAAATACTGGCTTTAGAAATGCACAGGTTTGAACAGTATTCTTAACAAGCCATCCTTTGCCTCTAATTTCAGGGTTAGGTGAGAGTTGGTAGGGTTGCAACAACTAAACAATATAACTGACCATGAAAATAATTGATGATGAATTTGATGATTGATGAAAACATCAGTCATATCACGTTACAGCTGCTGTGGGAAAGTGCATGATCCCTTTATGTAAAGCTCTTCAAACAAATGCATGTCAGCAGCTTTGACAGATGTGTGTTAATGCATTTTAGACGTTTTCCCAAGTGCACAACTCACATTTTTTAAAAGTGAAATCTGGCTTTTATTTCCATTCTGCAAGTGAGTGTCTGTTAAACTTAAAATATTAATTTTCTTCAGCTATTTGTTGGTTGTAAATGTTACCTTTAAAATTTGGGTTATGCTTTATTATAGTGTAAATGTACTGAGCAACATTAATTAACTACATGTACAGTACTTACTATAGGGTCAGGGTTAGGATGAGGGTTTGGCTTAGTTGCATGTAATTATGCATAATTTATTGTTATTATAATAGTAAGTACATGTAAAATTTGTAAGGACACTGTAAAATAAAGTGTTACCAAAATTCCGCATATGACACAAATATCTGTATGTGAGAAGTCACTGTAAAGAGATTACAACATGCAGTGGGATATAAATGTAAGACGTCTCTGACATTTTAAGATTCTGACATCTCATCCTCACAGAAGGAGAACAAAAGATCATAAAGATTTGATATGTTTCCTACTGTAAAGCATGTGCATTTTCCTGGAGTAATGAAACATGTTGATCTAGGACGCTAGGGATCCACTTTCTGCTTTGCAAACTCTCAGTCACTCTACACACACACACATTCTCACACACACACACACACACACACAGTGTGTTTGCAGAGGCGTGAGGTTTGTTTCGTTGTGTGTCTGTAGCCGAGTGGCAGATGTAGGTCTGTGTGTCCTCAGAGACGTGTGTGTCTGCCACAACCGATATCACATCAGTCACAGCAGACATTGAGCTGGATTCTGGGGCGTTGCTATGTGGTTGCTAAGGTGTTTGTAGCTGTTTTCTTCCTGTCTGGTGTGAATAGTGTCTCTGTGATCTTCTGGTCTGTAGATGTGTGATTTTTCAGCTGTTTTATGGTTCAGCAGCACACTCTCCTCAACAACACACATGATTTGATAGACACGCATCTGGTGTTGTACTGTTTTGAGCTCATTACCGTGTGTGTGTGTGTGTGTGTGTGTGTGAGTGTACCTACTTAACCATATTTTGGTGACAAATTTGTACCCAAAATTGAGTTAAACCTGACAAAATCTCCAAAAACCTCCCTTTGGGGACGTCCTCATTTGTAAAACTGGTATCTTGAGTTATGTAACAAAAAGTACAATCAGTGATTACACTCATATGAAGAGGTTTATGTGCATTTGATTGGCATTTAATGTTTTTAATTAGCAATGTAGACAAAATTTGTTTAAATATCCAATAACCGAGAGCTGAGAGTTTGTTGCTTCTGCTGGTTTAAAACACTCAGATAGATTCTTCTCTTCTCAAGCTTGCTTTCTAATCTAGTAGTCTTATAAACCTGGCGTTATGAGTTATGGCTATTGCTGATTCTTTGATGAATTGCTTTGTTCCTCTTTTTTTTGTGACTTTTAGTGACGTGACATGTGGCCAAGTAAGGTGACCCATACTTGGAATTAGTGCTCTGCATTTAACCCATCCTTAGTGCACACACACACACACACACACACACACCGTGAACACACACCCGCCAACAATACATGCCATTTATGAAACTACAGAATCTACATGCTGCAAACCAGTCTCAGATATAAAGAGAAAACACTGGAGAAAAGATGCACATGAAGTATGTGGACTGCAGAATTCAGCAGATCTGTCGATAGCATTTTCAGTAGTGACAGCCATCCTGATGAGTCTGAAAGTGAAGAAACCTCAGCTGCAGAAACCGAGTGAAAAGCTGGGATTGTATGTAGATTGTGTAACACCTAATAAACACTTCAAGTGAAAGAACAGAGCCAGAGCACTTCCGTTATAATCAACAAGCCCCAGACACGGCATTAACGAGATATTTACTGTGAGACTGCGGTAGCTTTGTCAGAAATGTTGATTTTTACTGAAATATTTAAAATGGTTCAATATAGCTTTTCTACAGTATCGATGCACAGATACCAGCTGCGTTTCCTTTCTCTCCGACAGCGCTTTATTTTCACATTCACATAATATTCAACAGTTGATTACAGCATTTGGCTGGATGTCTGCCAAAATTAAAAGGCTTTAACTCTTGCAAATAAAGTAATTAAGACATAAGTATTGTAATTTTCTACTGTAAGATAAAATAATGAAATATTCACTTTTTATTTTAAAGCACAGTTGTATTACAATATAACATATTTCTGTCTTAGAGATAATAATAGTAATAACAACATTATAAGATTATTTATTATTATATTTAAATGATCTGGCTTGCTAAAATCTAATGTGAATGTGATGTGGACTGAGAGACTATCACATCACATTGCACCAGATTTAACTTTAAAATGTACAAAAATGTCTTACTTGGATACTGTTCAGGTGTTATGCACTTAATGTTGTAGCAGCTTTTCACCACGTATCAAAAACAGTATTAAATATTGATATTTTTCAAGGTATCACATCAAAGTTGAACTTGCACCGCAGGACTCAAGCTACGCTCATATGAACCCTGTACAAGAAACTCAAGACTTAATTGCCAATAGTTTCAGCAGAGGCTCGACAAACAGAGATATGCAGAGTGAATGTACACTGATACTGTTGTCAGAAATCACATCAAATCAAGCATGACAGTCCTTATATCTGCTGAGGCTCGTGGTGTGCATCAGGCACAGAGTTGCAGCTGTAAAGCTTCCTCCTCCTCTGTTCATCTGCAGGAGAATCACTGCCGGCGGATCAAGATTCTGGGCGACTGCTACTACTGTGTGTCTGGCCTGACGCAGCCCAAGACGGATCACGCTCACTGCTGCGTGGAGATGGGTCTGGACATGATCGACACCATCACGTGAGTGTGAGCCGCTGATGGAGGCTCTTCTCAAGGGCAGCAGCATGATGAGTTCCTCTGTAAATAGTGTTCAGTCACACGTATATGTGCAGTACTGCTTCCCCAGTCGCTCCTGTGAGGAGATTTCCACAAGCTTCAGTGCTGATGTGTCTGATTGTTTCAGTGGAAATCTTAATTATGATTATGAATGTTATGAAATGTACTGTTACTAGAGTGACTGTTGAATCTTCACCAAATCATCATCAGAACCGTGTGGAAAAAAGATGTTGAAAGATTTCTCATATGTGTCCCTGCAGCACAGAAGCAGTGTTAAGTCGCTGGGGGGTATTTGTAGCAATAGCCAACAATACATTGTATGGGTCACAATTATACATTTCTCTTTTATGCCAAAAATCATTAGGATATTAAGTAAAGATCATGTTCCATGAAGATATTTAGTAAATGTCCTACCGTAAATATATCAAAACTTAATGTTTGATTAGTAATATGCATTGCTAAGAACTTCATTTGAACAACTTTAAAGATGATTTTCTCAATATTTAGATTTTTTTGCACCCTCAGATTCCAGATTTCCAAATAGTTGCATCTCAGCCAAATATTGTCCGATCCTAACAAACCATACATCAATGGAAAGATTATTTATTCAGCTTTCAGATGATGCATAAATCTCAATTTTGAATAATTGACCCTTATGACTGGTTTTGTGCTCCTGGGTCACATATATCAAACCGTCTGTGTATTTGGTCTGATCTTTGAAACTTCTTTTGAAATAAAAACTCACCGACATGATCATGTACATTATGGAAACAGTGATATCGAAACATAAAACAGATTTTTTTGGCCTATAACTTCTTAAAGGGATCGTCCACCCAGAAATAATCATTTATTCTCCCTCGTGTGGCTTCAAACATGAGTAATGTTCTGTCTTCTGTGAAGCACAAAAGAACATTTGAAGAATCTTCCATCTGCTGTTGTCTGTGCTGTAATGGTCAATGGGCTTCAGAGTTTCTCGTGGAACCCAGCAACAAATCCCACAAATCACACAGTAGCCATCTGCTGACAGCACTATATCAGTTTGATGACAGCGCCACCTGCTGCTTACAGAAGTCTGGAATAATAATGTTTTTTAGAAGTCTCTTCTGCTCACCAAGACTGCATTTATTTGATTAAAAATACAGTAATATTGGGAAATATTATTAAAATTTAAAACAGCTGTTTTCTATGTGAATATCTGTTAAACTGTAATGTATTTCTGTGATGTGCAGCTGTATTTTCAGCATCATTCCTCCAGTCTTCAGTGTCACATGATCTTCAGAAATCAGTATAATATGCTGCTCTGCTGCTCGAGAAACATTTCTGATTATTATCAATGCTGAAAACAGTCGTGCTGCACAATATGTTTGTGGAAACTGTGATACACTACCATTCACAGTTTTATTTTTTTTAATTAATCAAAGATGCATTCAATTGCTCAAAAGTGACAGTGTTTCTATTTCAGAAGATTTCTGTTTCAAATAAATGCTGTTCTTTTGAGCTTTCTGTTCATCTGTGAATCCTGAAAAATAAAATGCATCACAGTTTCCACACAAATATTGTGCAGCACGACTGTTTTCAACATTGATAATAATCAGAAATGTTTCTCGAGCAGCAGATCAGCATATTATACTGATTTCTGAAGATCATGTGACACTGAAGACTGGAGGAATGATGCTGAAAATACAGCTGCACATCACAGAAATACATTACATTTTAACAGAGATTCACATAGAAAACAGCTGTTTTAAACTGTAATAATATTTCACTGTATCAAGTAAATGCAGGCTCAGTGAGCATAAGAGACTTCTTTCAGAAAAATTAAAGAATCAGATTTATTCCAGACATTTGATCGCTAGTGTAAATAGTATAGACATGTGAATCTTCATTGCTCATCAAGAAAAACTGCATTCAGACACTGAGCTGTTGAGCGTGATTGTGTTCTTCAGGTCGGTGGCTGAAGCTACAGAGGTGGATCTGAACATGCGTGTGGGTCTGCACACGGGACGGGTGCTCTGTGGCGTGTTGGGCCTCAGAAAGTGGCAGTATGACGTGTGGTCCAACGACGTGACGCTGGCCAACGTGATGGAGGCTGGAGGACTGCCGGGGTGAGGAGCTCAAGCAATCAGCATCACACTCCTCTCCAGAACCCTGAGCTGTCTGAGAGCTGTTTCTCCTCTCGTCTGCTTGTTCTACAGGAAGGTGCACATCACTCGCGCCACGCTGGACTGTCTGAATGGAGATTACGAGGTGGAGCCGGGAAACGGCCGCGAGAGACACTCGTTCCTGCTCAAACACGACATCGAGACCTTCTTCATAGTGCCATCTCACCGCAGGAAGGTGTGTGTGCGCTTTACTGGGAACCTTCTCGTGTTTTAGAGATATATCAATGTCAGGACAAAACATTCTTCAGTAATGTCTATGGAACATTCTTTAATGTTTGAGATACATATAATGCTATATTTTGGGTGAAAAGTTAGTAGAATATTTCAAGAAACATTTTCTAACTTTTAAATAATGTTATAATCACAACAAGAAAACTGGAAATTTTAATGTTTTAGTAATTTTGGTTACACTTTATATTAAACACCCATTCTCACTATTAACCAGCATGCATATTACTAGCAAACTGGCTGTTTATTAGTACTTATAAAGCACATATTAATGCCTTATTCTGCGTGACCATAATCTAGATCCCTTAACCCCCACACATAAACTTAACTATTAAAAAGCAGCAAGTTAGGATTTAATGAGGCAAAAGTCGTAGTTAATAGTGAGAACTGGAACATAAAATAAAGTGTGACTGCAATTTTTAAAAACAATGTTCTCACAATGTTTTTATAACTGTAGCGAATTTAGCTCATGGGGAAATATGAATAATTAATTATTAATATTTTAGATCCACTGTAGATATTTAGCTGACCACTCAGGGTCAACCGTCTTGTCAATTCTAAGAACGTTAATTTCCTGGTTAAAGGAAATAACTTTCTTACTGTACAATTCTATAAGTTTGTAACGTAAATCTGCATGATTATTGACTCCGGTTATGAGTAAACAATGAACACGCCAAGTGTGATACAAGTAAGGTTTTATTAACTACATAAAAACTTAAACTAGTCTAACATACTACACAAACACATTAAGCCGGTCTAACATAAACATACACACACACACACATACAGTTGGTATAGGAAAGGGTTAAAGTTTAGCACTAAAGAAAGAGACATAAGGAATGACATTTATAAATTTGTCACTTGTGCGCATTTATTCATGCCGTAGTATATGATCACAGTCATCAACAAACTACAAAAATAACAACAATGGTCAACTATACATTAACTAAAAAAATGAATTACCAGTGTACAGTAGATGTACAGTAGCACATTTGGTTTTATTTGTTACTATAAATTCTCCACAAAAAGTTACTTAGTGTCATTTCAGAATACAGCATGAATTTACAAATGATAGCTGTGCTTCACAGACTGTTGTTATTGTGAATATGACTGACATGATTTGTTTTTTTTTTCTTCCAGATTTTTCCTGGTCTGATCCTGTCAGACATCAAACCTGCCAAAAAGATGAAGTTTAAGACGGTGTGTTACTTGCTGGTGCAGCTCATGCACTGCCGCAAGATGTTCAAGGCCGAGATTCCCTTCTCCAGCGTCATGAGCTGTGAGGACGGGGACAAGGTACGATACACTGAGAAAATCAATGCTGAATGATGTCATGCTGTCACTCTCACAGCCTCATCATGTGGTCATGTGATCGTGTCTGTGATTGGCAGAGGAGGGTGCTGCGCTCCGCGCCGGAGAAGCTCAGGAACCGTTCCTCCACAGCGGCTAACGCGGCTCCGAGCAGCCCGGGGACACGGGTCAACCGCTACATCAGCCGTCTGATCGAGGCCCGGCAGACGGAGTCCGACACGGCCGACCTGCACTACCTCACGCTCACCTACAGAGACTCGGAGCGAGAGCGCAGGGTGAGAGCCAGTGTCACCGCGTCACGTGCGGAGCTTAAACTGGCCTGTTGTTGATGCATGTGTCTGAGTTACTGTAGTATGACGCAGATTATAGTATATGATGCCACTATAAGCACTGGTTTTACAGACATAGGGCCTCGAGCCTCTGTAATTCAAACACTCCAACACTGAGTCCTAACTCAGTCCTAACCAGAATAAGATGAAATAAGAATGTAGTGCACAAGTAATTTGTCTGTCCACACCAAGCGGCAACCTCTCGCTCTCTCTCGTGAAGCCAAGTCTCTCAAGTGACTAAAACTGTAATGCATCGACTGGCCGCTAGAGGCGGGCTGCAAAAGAGAGTCAGTCCCATAGACTCCTCATGTTAAAATGCCCAATTTTACAGCAGAAAAAAACATGTTTACAGCCTGGTACAAAAAATTATTTTGGTCTATATAGCTAATTTTGCCCTTCGTGACAACTGTGAGGGGGGTGATTTTTTTTATAACTTATGAGCTCTAAGAGTTATAACTTTATAACTTTTAAATTATATTAAGCCTTAAAGTTCTGCATAATTAAGGGCGTGGCCACTTGAGTGACAGGTGGATTGCCGCTGCTGTCACCACCGTCGAGCTAGGTGGGCGTGATTTCAGCAACCAGCTCCCGCCTCTTTGCCCATTTTCGATTATCCGGGAGTGACGCGCTGCCAAGATGGCGACGGCCGGCTCCGCCCACTTTAGGCTTCAAAAAACGCTCTTTGGAAACCTACGGGTGACGTCACGGACACTACGTCCATGTTTTTATACAGTCTATGGTCCACACCAGACATGACAAAATCAATCAGCCAATCAGAAGAGCATGTGGGCGGGTCTCTCTCTGCAAGTGCACTGCACTCACAACAAAATGAAAGTACATCAACAAATTCCTAATTATTAAACCATTTTAACATTGTTAAAAAAACACACACTGAATGACTGAAGCAGTCATTGTAGAGGAATACACTTGTATGATTACAATGAGTTTAAAAGTACATGCTTCCTAAAATTAATTTTCAAGATCTGATCTCACATTTAGAATGGCTATAAAGGTATTTAAACTCACATTAGACCCTTTTAACATTAAATAAACCATATAATTGGCATCATTGTCATAGTTTGTATGGTATTGTTCCACCTTTTATCAGGTGTCGTGTTGTGGCGTTGTGTCACGTCTGGTAAGGACACAGTGTAAACTTCAGTCATCCCCCAAATTTTGGTTCACAGAATGTTATATGAACGTTCCCAAAACATGCTTTTTTAAAGTTTCAGGAAAGTTTGAATTGCACGGTTAGTTGCAGGAACGAGCTGAATGATGTGTATTTGATCTGCTGTAAGTGGTCCGTGTTTTTCAGCACGTTTATGTTTGAGCGTGACGTGTGCTGTGTTTCTGCAGTATCATCAGCTGAATGACGAGTACTTCACCGGCGCTGTGCTTCTGTCTCTCATCCTCACGGCTCTGATCGGCATCCTCTACCTGCTCATCATGCCACTGTACGTACAGCAGAGCACCACTCCATCACACCGACACAGAAACACACGCATGCTCAGACGTGTTGAAACACATCCTTCTAGTTACAGGTTTGGTTATTTCAGTGAAAGCAGATCTCAACAAACAATGAAGGAGAGTGGCTCTGGCCGACTAACTCCACGCGCTCCATCGTGATCATCGACGTGTCCGCAGGCCTGAACCGCACCATGGCTGAGCTGCCGTGTGAAGGAGCGCAGTACGCCTTTCTGTGCTGCATGCTGGGGACGCTGACCGTGGCGCTGTTCCTGCGAGTGTCCTGGCTGTCCAAACTCCTGCTGCTGCTGCTGCTGCTGGTGCTGTACATCACCGTGCTGGAGCTCAGTGGATTCAGACGCTCCTCGGGGTGAGAGACGCTCCACACCAAACACACAAACCTTCAGCAGGACTTACTGATAAAGCTGGTCAGCCGCTGAGCTGAATCTCACTGATGGTGTGTGTTTGTGAGTGCAGGACGGTGTTGTTGAGCGCTCGCGGTCTGGAGCCCGTCCTCTCTCTACTGCTGTTCTCTACCGCACTCGCCCTTCACTCCAGACAGATGGAGCTCAAGCTGCGCCTGGACTTCCTCTGGGCCACTCAGGTACAGCAGAGCATCACACACTCCTGACACCGCAGTCACAAACACAAGAACACCTCCCATCATCATCCATTCTGCACACTGCCTGTCCTCCATACGGTCACGCGATGCTTGAGTCGTTTTCAATGTTTTCACGTTTCTCTTTTGGAAGAAGGCTGCATTTATTTGATCAAAACACAGTTAAAACCAGGGTTGTGATAGTTCATTAAAACTAAAACTGAAACAAAATTCAAACCATTGAAAAACATAATAACAAAATAAATCTTAACTAAAATGAAATACAATATAAAAACGTTCATCTAGCTTCCATTTTAATTTTGTTTAACTTTACGTACTAAAATAACTAAAACTGAAATAAAAATTTATATAAACTGTATAGTTATGATATGAAAAGATGACAAAACACAACAAAATTACTACAACTTTGACTAAAATCAAAATTAAAACAAAGACAATTATTCAAAATATTAATATTGTAAATATTAGTACTGTTAAATATTATTACAATTTAAAATAGCTGTTTTCTATGTGAATATATTATAAAAATGCAGAATTTGTAAAAAAAAAAAAGCTGTATTTTCAGCATCACTACTTCAGTCTTCTGGGTCACATGATCTTCAGAAATCATGCACATACAGTATGGCTTTAATATTTTCATTATATTATCATTGTATAATAATATTTGCCTGGTCAATGCTGCAATTGACTAACAATAATCAAGTATTCCAGAGGGCTGTGTAATGAAACATTATGACCTGCTGTACTGTGACAGTATGCCTGTCTGTGTGTGTGTGTGTGTATGTGTGTGTGTGTGTGTGTGTGTGTGTGTGTGTGTGTGTGTGTGTGTACCTGGTATTTATCACGTTATGGGGACCAAATGTCCCCACAAGGATAGTAATACTAGTAGATTTTGACCTTGTGGGGATATTTTTGAGGTCTCCCATGAGGAAACAAGCTTATGCATCATACAGAATGAGTTTTTTTTGAGCAAGTAACAATGCAGAAAGTCTCCTGTGAGGGTAGATTTAGGGGTAGGGTTGGTGTAGGACAATAGCACATACAGTTTGTACAGTATAAAAACCATTACGACCTATGGAATGTCCCCATAAAACATGGAAACACAACATGTGTGTGTGTGTGTTCAGGCAGAGGAGGAGAGAGACGGCATGGAGAAAGTCAAACTGGACAATAAGAGAATCCTCTTCAACCTGCTGCCGGTTCATGTGGCTCAACACTTCCTGCTGTCTAACCCCAGAAACATGGTGAGAGCTCGCCTCGTCATCAGCTGCTGAGCGCTTCGATGGAGGTGTTGTGCATCATGATCCCAGAGCTGATTGTGTGCTTGTGGTGTGGCAGGATCTGTATTACCAGTCCTACGCTCAGGTCGGGGTGCTGTTCGCTTCCATTCCCAACTTTAATGACTTCTACATCGAGCTGGACGGAAACAACATGGGTGTCGAGTGTCTGCGGCTGCTCAACGAGATCATCGCCGACTTCGACGAGGTCATCTCGCTTGCTGTAATTTTGAAATTTTGAATTAGATTTTTATTTGCTTATTTTCCATTTTCATTTAAATTTTACTTTGTTTTAGTAATTTTGTTTCTAGATTTTTATTTAGGTTTTAGTTATTTTAAAACATTAAGTTCAACTAAATGAAAATGAGAAATGTTGCCTTGGCCACTATATTTTATTTTATTTCATTTCAGTTCAGGGTTATTATAGTTAACTAAAACCATAAAAACACATTTTCATTACTTAAAATAAATGTTATCTTAAATAAAATATTAAAAACTTAAACTTATTTTATTACAGCTAGTTAACAAGGCAACATTTCTCATTTTTATTTAGTCTAACTTGATGAACTAAAATAACTAAATAAATCTGGAATAAAACTTAATAAAGAATATATAAATATTTAAAAACAAATAAAAATGACTAAACAAGCAACAAAATTACTAAAACTTTTTAAAAAATAAACCTTGAACATAAAAGCTGAAAATATAAAAATATAATCTAATTCAAAATATTAACAAATATTATAATAGTATCTCAATGATACTAAAATAACACTGTTTCAGTTAACGTTGATTTTATTTCAAGCAACTTTTTTTTTTTCAACCCCACTCTGAAACCATTTCATCTCCGTGTTGCAGCTGATGGACAAAGAGTGCTATAAAGACATTGAGAAGATCAAGACCATCGGCAGCACGTACATGGCAGCGGTGGGTTTGGTGCCCACCATCGGAACCAAGGTCACTGATTCAGCCACACTGGACATGATGCAGAGTAATACTTACAGAGCATCTGAGAACATGATTCATTTACTCCTTTACAGGCAAAGAAATCCCCTGCGGAGCACCTGAGCACCATCGCAGACTTCGCCATCGAGATGTTTGACGTTCTCGATGAAATCAACTATCAGTCATATAATGATTTTGTCTTGAGAGTGGGTAAGCTTTTATACGTTTACACTGCCGTCTACAGATCAACTGCCTCAGCAAACCTGCAGTTTTCCTACCATTTGTAAAGGAAAAAATGGGAATGACATTTTAGAAGTTTTCACAACCCTTCTGCTGGCTCTGTATTCTCAGTGAATGTTCTGGATGTTCTCTGATGGTTTATGTGTGAATGCTCAGGTATTAATATGGGTCCGGTGGTGGCCGGGGTCATCGGGGCCCGCCGGCCGCAGTATGATATCTGGGGAAACACGGTGAACGTGGCCAGCCGCATGGACAGCACCGGAGTGCCTGGGAAGATACAGGTACTACAGTCAGTCTAAAGATAATTCTCTGACTGTGTGAATATCACAATAATGCATGCATTCTCTGAGAGCTGGACATACCTAAATAAATGCCTAAAAAACTGATTTCCCAGCATGCTTTGATACAGACTTTAAGGAGAGTTAATGTTGAAATTAAGTGTTTTTGCACAAAATAAATATAGCAGGAGATGTGTTAATAATTAAGATTCACATTAATTAAGGTCACATTAATTTTAAATATTGGTTTTAAATTCAAAATATTTGTATTCAGATTCACTTACATTTTTACTTGCATTTACTCAATTTATATGCTATATTTAATTGATTGTACTCCTTTAAAATTCACTCAGTATTTTTTATGTAAAATGTTTCACATCATAGTTTGTTTTTA